TGTATATATATATATGTATATTTACAGCCAAACAACTATGCGCATCTGTCTGCATCTGTAGTCATCTATAAGAATCAGTTTAGGGTGTAGAGCTCAACTTTTCTTCGAGCCTGGACCTCCTAGTTGAGGTGTGCTTGCACGGATGGTAACAAGGATCTTCGCGACAGTGATAATGGGCACATTCATAGTGGTAGTTTTTATGTTGGGATCATATGTCATTGCCATCATGGAGTGTCGCGGCTTCTGCGACGAGGAAGGTGTTATCAGTCTACTGGGTTCTTGTTAAGGAACATGATTTAAGTTGCCATAGTCATAGTAGGGACCTACTGGAAATAATAGGGTTTCCTTGTTGTACCGTACTAACTTAAGCTCAAACTCCTCGACAAGAGCCCAGTCCAGTGTCATCCTCAACCCGTGTTCCTCCGCAAACATGAAGCTGCAGCTTCAACCTCCGCGACTCTGAATCCTAGCCGAGAACCTTTATACTCTATAGCCCACTGGAAGTATGGAAGTTCAACACGATATAGAAAGCCTGTTCTAATCATCAAGGCTCCTATACTCAACCCTCATATGAACCCTCTCCACAGGTTTCACGAAAGAGGTGCCCCTCTTCTTGCGATACTTGAAGGTGCGGACCTGTTGGAGAGTGAATTTTAGGAAGCTCCGAAAAGTAGACAAGTGGTTAAGATCAGTGTAGTAATGGCGGTATTTAGTAGCGTTTTCGTTAGGTGCGGATCAGTCAAGAGATACGATAATGGTACAGTATGACCAACACCCACTTGGAATAGCTGGCTTGATCAGAGTGGCCGGCTGCAGGATGGAGAAGATGAAGTGCTTGCATGTCCAAGTGCATAAAATATGGTGCTGTTTAGTGCCAGGGCGAGAGTGTTGCCGGAGTCAATATCAAGGCTCCTAGAGAGACACTTGCTGCTTCTTTATCATTTTCGATGCCTTTCAATGTCCTTCGTTTTCACCCTTTCCCAACAAGTTGGCCATGCTGTGTGCTAAGACACTCCTATCATTATCATCATTGCTACTCGTGTCAGTACTCCTATCATCTGTCGATTATTCTTGTTATTGTTGATATTGTTTTTTGTTATCTTGTTACTGTCCTTGTTATTGTTATCTTCATCGTTATTATTCTCGTCGTCATGCTTATTCTTGTTTATTGGTCACTCCCGAGATTGACTGCCGAGGAGCAGAGGATTTGTAACTTCAGAGCAGCCTGCATAGATCGTTCTCTAAGTTAGGGTCCCTTT